AATAAGAATAGAGACTATTTCATTTAATAAATGTTTTGTTTTGATATACAAGTTGTTCGGTTTTTTTCATCTAGAAAAAAAAGCGACATTAATTTCTTGACAACCTAATAGATCACTTGTGTATCAATCAAGATACAGACTGAACATATCACTTATCTTATGCTATGAAATTATGGATTTTTAATAGTTCGATTTGCAGGCTGTATGTAATCATTGCACGGGAAGTTATCCTATATCATCGTGTATGTACAATTATAGTTTAGTCTGAGTATTGAAAAGCGTCACTCGCATCATGTTTTGGATTATTTAGTTACAGCTTTCATATTGAACACTTCCTGTTGAATATTTTGGCTTATAAGTAATTAAGGAAACTACATTGAATACAATGAGAAATTCCGAACGTCGAAAAATATAAAGACTGCTAAGAATTTGTTAATTGTGTTTCTTCTATTTCCTAATCTTATTTAGTAGTAATACGTTATTTTAGACTAGGTGCTAAACATTAAAGTACAAAAACACATACTTACTGTTCAGTTTTAAATGGGGTAACAATAATTTTCCATGAGTTTAAGGCTACCCAAACTTCTTGTAAACTTAAAACTAACATCTGACCAAATGCATCATCATTCTTAAATACAAACCTACTGTTGTTCTACATGTCAAGCTAAAAGAACACTTTACAACCTTACAAGAAAACTATTACTCTTTTAACACATACTTTAATTTCAAAACACCCTCATTGCGCAAAGTTACACGACGGCTATATGCGCTAGCCGTCCCTAATTTAGCAGTGAAAGACAACAGGGAAGGCAACTAGTCATCACCACACACCGCCACCTCTTGGGCTACCCTTTTACCAAAGAATAGTGGGATTGGCCGTCACATTCTAACGCCTCCACGGCTGAAAGGGGCGAGCATATTTGCGAGTCAAGCGCCTTAACCACCTGGGCCTCATTATTTTTATCACATGATATTAAACATACAAGAGATCTTCGCTACTATTTTTAGTTCTCATAAATCATAAGCTTAAGTGACTGCACTCTACACTCGCATCACACACAGAGTAAAAATTTTACATAGTAACTTAAGCACTATAAGCATATGTAAATTGTTTGGTACTATGACTGTACAGTTCTGATATGTCGACATCTACACAGGTTTAAAAATTTTATTCACAATATGGCAAGTCTATAATATGTTTCACATTTTAAATAGCATTTACAAGTTTTCTTGGTTAAAATTTCTATCTGTTTCTTTTGTTGTAAAGATTAATTCATAAAATTACTTTTCGATGATTCTAATAAAATGATAAAGCAACAGTTTATGCACCAGCAAAACGGTTTTTAAGTAAGACAGCCCCCCCTCAGAATAAAAGTTAAATATTTGGGGGGTAGGCTTTTTCTAAAACCGAATTAACCTTGTAAAAAGTATAATTGTAACTAACTGATTTTAAAATTTGTTTAGAGGAACAATAAAGTATGTAATATTAAGTAGTATTTATATCCGAAACACAAATTTATTTTAAAAATATTTAGCAAAAGCTGGTCAAATCTAAAGGGAAAGAAGACTGGCATTCAAAATCCAATATATTACTCTTCAATGAATATATAAAAATATAGCCGTACACAAAAATACGATACCCTACAACCAGAACGCTTTCGAAAGGTTAACTAATTTTCCCCTCTAGAAGAAAGTCCACCTTTCGGAAGCGCTCGGGTTATAGAGTATTGTATTTTTTGTGTTAAATTGATTTCTTGGACCTCCGTGTTTTCCTAACATCATGAAAACATAGCCGTATATATATATATATATCTGCGAATAAATTTTTGCAGCTCCTTCTATGCAATGGAATAAAATTAATATCCATGATGTGGTTGTGTTATGTAATAATCATGACTTTTGTTGAACCCATGTCAAAGATGACTTAAAAAGAACTACTCACAGTGTATGTTCAGAGTCGTTGTTGATTATTTTATTTTTTGTTTCCATTTCTGAGTGAAATCAATAAAACGTTAATCTCTCACCACGTATGGCAGAAAGGCTACATACCTATAAGATACCAACTAATTATCCCTTGTAAAAAGATTGTGTGTTGATGTTTTAAACACTGCGCCAAATTTGTAAGGAGAAAAAATAAGTCGATTGTCTCCCTCGAAATAATCGAGTTAACATATATAATTTTCTTTATATGACCGTGATCCATATATTACTTTCATATGTTTTCTTAATTTCCTCCAAAATGTGTAAAACTGAACCAAGTAAATAGCAATATTCGAGTGTAATTCACGGACAAGTAAAAAAAAAAGATTCATGTATTCACTTATGATGAACGGGCTACTTTCTTCCTTTCTGAAGCTTTTACTTTTATATCATTACAATATTCTTCAACCGATGTCAAACGAAAAAAAATAATAAAATAACTAGACAATAAGTTACTTACCACTTCTCTGTCCATGGTGATGGGGGGTAAGGCATATTGAGTCCGTTGACATGGATGACCACCGGTATGGGAAATGCACATATTATGGAAGCACGAATGGCAGCCTGTAGGAAGAGGAGGATGAGAAGAGTGTGAGTGTTGACCCACTGAGAGAAATTCTGAATCAGCGAGACTCGGGCAACAACAGCACCAGCGGTTGTTAACTGGTGTTGTGGCTGCGGTGCCACTGCCAGAACCGTCGAATCCCAACCTGCATGATTCTCCACAAGTACACTCATTTCTTTCGTTGGCCAACATCAAGCAAGGTGGATGCATGTTCCGGTTAAAACACACACATACACTCTCAAACAGATGTATATACAGAAGGTTATTTACTTCTCCTATGGGTTCTGCATAATCACAAAAGTGCATCTAATGGGATAAATGATACGCATGATATCACGTTTTACATTTTAATAAAATACTGAGTTTACTGATAAGCCAATATAATCACAGAGAAAATACTTCATACGTATAAAAATATTCAATCAATGCATTTTAATTGTGAAGTATCTTCATTTAATTAAGAGATGTTGAAGTTGGGACGATGGCTTTGTCCCTTCCTCGTCTGTAGATCTAAATACGAGCCGCTGTCGACTAAAAGTGAGGGCGTACAGTTAGGAACTGACCCCGCAGCCAACAACCATTTTCCCACAATACAGCGCGAGTCGCTCGCCACGTGAAATCGCAAGTCTGTGTGATAACCAAGGCTAAAAAGATCAACGGTGTACTAATACGAGCATGGCCAGAATGATAAGAAGTGTTTGGGTTGGTTGGTAACAATGTAGCGTTTAGTTGCTAGGCAGACTCTGCCAAGCTCACAAAACAGACATGCACGGAGAACAGACAGACGTAATAAGGGGCTTATGTCGAGGTCAGCAAGAGAACCAATATGGAAAGAGAAACCTACACTGGTGCCAAGATGAATAACTGCTGATACGACATATATAAATACAAAGTACAGGTATTTAACATATAATACTTCATAGATCGAATTTAATATTCTGTTCGCAAATGACGAGGTAGTGGTAGAGAGCTGATCTATACATCTGTCAAAATATAGGTTTTTATATTCTGAAATCGCAATGTATAGCTTCGAAGAAACTATTAAGTACAAACCAACCTTCGTTGGCAAATTTAGTGACAGATAAGGAATTAAATAACAAATACTCATCCACATAACAAACATAGCGTGTAAGTAACATTTTATCTAGAACCTTCAGGTTTGCATTCAATATTGCCATCAAAGTCACGTATCAAAAACAAAGAAAGAATTGCTGTCGGTTGTAACCAGACGATCCCTGACATTTGTAAGTCACCAGCAAGAAGTTAAACTGAGTTTAACAACAATTATTTCTGTGAATGATAACTACATTATAATGTTTGATTTTACGCATCTGTTTTCGTTTCATACAAATCGTTTCCTTCTACTTAAAAAGACCTTATTATCAGCTGCAATCATTAAGTTAACGACGCCCTCTGGTGTTGTCAGAGTTACAGCGTCTATCAATACTTGTCAATGAAAGTTCCAAGTGTTAGAAATCTGTATCTCTGTTGTCAACTGTCACGCGATAATAAACAAGTGCTTATTATTCACATGTTGAGGTTGGTAATAAATGTTTATTTTTTGTTAAACGTATTTGTAACGTTTTAAATTTTCAGTGTTCAATGATACAAAGATATTATTTTTCTCTAACATTTTTGACAGTTTAGTAAAACGTAATAAAAATAAATTACATATAGCATACAACAAAGTTATAAAACTTCAGATGTTGTAGTCTGTAAATACACAAGATATTTAATCGAATCTTATAACTGAAAGTTCAGTTAAAATACGTCAAGCTGCCAATGGTAGTATTCGTTTTGGGGGTTGTTTTTTCCAAGTGCCTTTCTGGAATCCAGCTGTATACGATGTACCCAAATTCTTTTAAAGTAAGCATATACGTATATGTTTTATTTTCACTACATTTTCCATCTAGCAGTATCTAGACAACCAAAATGTGCCCTGGAATGCAACTTTATTTACTGCTTCATTTTTTAGGTTACTCATATAAGTAACATTTACTTTAACACCAGAAAAGAATTTAAGTTGTTTTCAAATTACATATTTTGGGAATACGACACGGAGAACGTTTTTTATATTTATTGTTGTTAGAAAATATAAGAAGTGTAGAACAGGTCTTTATTGGTCACAACTAGGTACAAAATTAATTTATGAGAAATTTAATACAATTTGATTTTCAATCATGTGAATTTTTAACACAACAGCTTAACTGAGAATTTTTTCTCTATATTGTTATTTTAAGCTACATATAGATTCCAGAAAAGACTCCGGTAATACAGAAATTATGGACATTAGAAACTAATATCAGAACAGTAATTTGGGATTACACAGAAGGGTATAAATAAAACTTGGTGACTTTCCCTTCCTAACCACTAAACAGAAATGACATATCTTTGAGCATTTTTATTTTTTAAGTTCTCCCAAACTCCTCTTATGGCCACCATTTTACATATTTATTACATAAAATTGCAGATAAAACCCTAAGTTCACATATACACTAATTTATATAAAGCAGTCTTAATTCCTTAGAAAAACAGACATAAAACCACACTGCTGCAAAGACTTGAGGATAAAGAATCCTCAAAACCAACATAAGATTCAACAAGCATACTGCATCATAAAAATGTCATGTAAAATAACATGAAAACTACAGGGGCAAACTTTAAACAGGCTTAGAATAAATTCTTATGACATTTATAATAAAAGCAACTTTCTCACTACAATCTTAAGCCTTAAGTAAAGCGAAAATGACACAATCGTATCAAATTATATAGGTCACATCTGTATAATTTAATATGAGGTTAAGATAATACTGAAATATTATCATGCACATGCTAAACCTATAGTACCAAAACAGGAATAAAGATATTTTGTAACACCAAATTATATCCCATGATCCTCTTTCAATAACAATTGATAATGTAACATACATGTTGAATAAAACAGCAATCAGATTAATAACACATGCATACCAAGTAACTGGAAAAAGCAGTAGAAAATAAAGCACAGGTACATAATTTAATGTGAAGTTTAAGCCAATAAATGTACTTCAGGTCACTAATTTTGGCTTCTGTTTTGTATGGGAGACAAATAGTGGTGGTCACAAAACATTAAATTTGTTTACAACTCTGCTCTTCAATTCTTTTTTGTTTGTTGCAGTGAATCCCTGTTTGTTTGTTTTTAACACTACTTCTGAATTAATTTGGCTTGATCGGAATATTTAACACTTTAATCTGACTTCCCCTTCGTTTTCTTGAAGCTGTTTCCCTTTCTTGTCACTTTGACTAACTACTTTCCTAAGATAAATACAGTGCTTAAACAAGACTGTGCTTGTATGTGTGGCTTTCAATGTGCTGGTGGCACCATACTAAATGTGCTTGATCAACTTATTCAGTCATTTGTAGAATCAACACTATTGCTTATGCACTCTACATGACAGTCAGAGAAGAGACTTCTTGATATACTATGATAATGATGTGGACTTTTACTTTGTGCTTTTTTCCTAGTGAACTTACCAGAATACTTTTGTTCCACATTCCTAGGATCAAAACTGCTATCACATCAAAGTCAAAATTAGGGTCCTTTTCTATTCAGGTAGAAAATTTGGTTAATTTAACCAGGATGTATTGAAATTTGTCTGAATGTTAATTTTTTTTTCTTATATCATCAATAAACACTGATCAGTTATTAGGTAAATATCTAAATTTGTGTTTAGAAGAAAAAAAAGTTTCATATCACCTATGAAGAGTATCACAGAAAATGATTCCCTGGTACTAATATGGCTTAAAGGATTTGGATAGATAAAGTACACTTGGTTTTATAGGTTAAAAGAAGGCATAAGACTGAAATATCTCATCACAAAGTGGACACGATCACTGAAGTACACAACTGAAAACGCTACAGGTAATTCAGTCATAAGTGCAAGATTCTTTCTGTTGGCTCAGTTCTGAAAACAAATCTTTCAGTTTTTCTAGCTTAGTGGTTCCCAACTGTTGGTGCAAAGAAACAATCAGTTACAAACAGAAAAAGAAATGTGTAATTCTTTCTTAATAAATATTAATATTATTAAAGTTCTCAATTCTTTCAAATTTGTTTTTTACAACTCAGCATATAACTATCTATGTTCTGTGTACTTCATATTTATACAGGTCATATACTCTAGGTTACGTCTATATACTCCCAATGGTATTTAAGGTTCTTACAAAGATACAGCTGGGCTGCAGATTTCTAATTCTTTTCAATACTTTCTTTAGTCTACATAAAACTAAGTCTACAATGTGATAAAAAAGTCTGTCATAAAAGTTTTATGTTACATAATAAAATCTCAAGTCATTTATTAAGTAAAAAACTGCCTTAGCCAAAGAAGCTATCACACCCTTTCGGTTACTTCTCAACATCTTTATAAAATTTTAAATTTCTTTGATTTTTTTCTGACACAAAAATTTTCCCAACCTCTAAAATTTCCAACTTTCCACTAACACTGAAAAAAAAATAAAAAAAATTAATGACTTTTCCTAGATGTGTGGAAATTTACATTTACATTTGGGGTAATTGTAGGAAACAACAGCTTGGGGTAAATATGCAAAATGTTTAGAAAATCATTGCTCAATAACTCATATCTCATATTTATTGAAAATTGAGTGGCAATAAAAGGAAATTTATAATATAAAAGCCAAAACAAATTTATATGGAAAACTAGCTGTAAGTAATTTTGAAACTCCTAATTTTATGTTAGGAATACATAAAATGTGATTTTTTTCTTTTGTTATTACAAATCTAAGTATACTATATCAGACAGTTTATGATCTTTTGAATACACAAACATTCTAATTCAATTACACTATATGAAAGAAAAATTGGAAAAACATACAAGTTGTGCAATTGTAAAATACTGGACTTTCTTGCAGAAAATTAAATGATGTTTTCCAAGACAAATTTATCCGATATAATTTCAGGGTTTGAGGTAAAGGTCTTTTATTCTCATCACTAATAACCTAAAAT